TATGTTCACTCTGCTATGTTATCACCAGAAATGTAGTGGATATCAAACAGATAACAAGGGGTTTTGACCCCTTTTTGATGGGTTTTACCTCAGGCAATGCAGAAAATGTGTTATTTGTGTTACTTTTCTCTGTAACAAAGGGTAAATTCCTCCTTGTTGTGTTACGTTTTCACCAAAAAATAGATTTACCAGATAACAATAGCATGTTATCCGGTAACTCTGGGAATTTATATGACAAAAATCTGTCCAGAAATTGTAATGAACGTAGCTTCCCATTGTTGACCATACATATCAATATTCAATCCTTTTTTGGATGTCCCCACCATGTGACTTCATGACCCTATGCTTCATACACATTTGCCATGAAGAACACAGATATATTGCTCCACTCTTGATGACTGGTATTGATGACCAGTCTGTACCAGTCATCAAGAGTGTGCTAATGTACTTGTTTTGTGGAGTCTTGCCCCTGTAGCGGCCATTAGAGGACCACAGAATAGCAAAAGCTGCTGAAAGTGCTTAGTGTATTAGCACTATGTGATTTCTGCTCAGCAAAAAGCACCAGGAAACATCTGAGGGAAGTAGGTGTCAGGTGACATGAAGTGACATATGTTACAACTCCATTGTTACTCCGGTGCTTGTCTGCTCAAATAAAAATGTGCCCTTTGTGGTCATCAGGAAGTCCCAACCCTTTGACTTTGAAGTAACACTGGAATAAATGCAGGAGTTAGATTCATGTCACCTGACATGTACAGTTGCGGATGGCATAGACCGACCATGCCCCGCCCGCAAAATCCAAAATGGACACGCGGGGCCTATGCCTCAATACTAATTTTTATTACAATTTTGAACTCCTACAGATGTATAGAGTTCAAAATTGTAACCACTAAGTTTATACTCAAGCGGTTCTTTTTTTTATTTGTATGACAAGCATGTATTTGGACATGCCTGCCAAAATCCATACTTAAACCCATAGTTATGGGTTTAAGTTAGGCTTATTCATGGCCTTATGCCTCTTAAAGCACCTGTAGTACCTATTCTGATTGGTTTTGCAATACTGTGAGGTAACATTTCAAAGTTATGTAGGCTCAAAAGGGCTAAAAAACCCTGTAAATACAAAAAAAACCTATTTTTTTGCTCAAAATTTTGGACACCCTCAAAATCTAGGGTTGGTTTTTGCCATCCGCAACTGTACTGACCTCAAATTTTTCATGGTGAAGCTGCTACACTAACACCTTTTGGGAAAACAGTGCAGTGTAGCATACCAGCACATTGTTGCCAATGGTGGGCCAATGTGTTACAATACAATCATTCAGCCATTTTGTTGAACACATTGGCCTGTCAATTTTTCTCTTTTTTGTTATTTTTATCAAAAATGTCAATTTTTCAATACTTTACATTACACAACAATACAGGAATACAGGCTGTATCAACCCACAAAGGACTGCATTTGCTGTTTCTGAGGGTTTTTGCAGTAGACCAGAGGGCAGTCATGTTGTCCATAGCTGTTTTGGCTTTGGACAAATGTTGAGATAAAGGAGGACTGGAGCAGAAGAACTGGTGTGGATTGAGTGTGTTGGAAGGATAAGGACAATAGAGTCCCTGCAGCTTCTTCTACTCCAGGACTTGAAGACAGATGAAAAAAAAAAACATGTCACAGAATGTAACAGGAAAGTCAAATTAAGATAGGAATCAGAAAACAAAATAAATTTCACAAAAAAGTCACCAGGAACATATAGATTTTTCAAATTGTGAAATTGGTTCCAAAAGGGATTGGGGAATATGTGTTCCTTTTTCACTGCTGATGGAATAGATGACTGCACTATGGATTTTTTTCACTAGTGCATGCTGTCATATGATTTATAACCCTGTCCAAATAGGTCTTCTCTGTAAATTTCCTGTGGGTTGGTATACTACAAAACCTGTATCATCACACATAATTACAATTGAAAACTATCAAATTAAATAAACAAACATCTTGTGAAATTTAAGAAATGTACAAAGAATAAAAATTATTCCACAGGGGAGTGCATGTATATACAATGCCTTTTTCTCCTTTTGGGGGTCTTAAATTATTGGTCTGGTTGATTTGGATCAAAATTAGAGATGGGCGCTCCGCATCCGGATATCCGTTTGGATGCGGATATCCGCTCACATTTTCAGCGGAATTGCGCATCCGCATCCGCATCCGCATCCGCTGGCGGATACCCGCTGGCGCTGGCGGGTATCCGCGCGGATATCTGCGGATATCCGCCCCCTTTTAAGGGTGGATAGTGTTTTTTTTTTCAAAAAAAAAAAAAGAAAAAAAAAAACTGGTTTTTGAACCAGCTTGTCGGGAGGAATCCCTTCCGACGAGCTGGTATGTACACCAGCTCGCCGGGAGGGATTCCTCCCGACGAGCTGGTCTATACTACCAGCTTGGCGGC